TTTTACTTTTTGTAGAATTTATCTTGATTTTCTATAAAATTGCAATTGAATTTCAAACATTTTAAGAAGTCACTGTTGATTTTTCAATTTTTTGGAAAAAGAATATTTCTGAAAATCAAATTGAATTTCTATAATTTAGAAAATCAAGCATTTTCTAAATATTTTAAATTCGACGAATGAATAATAAAAATTCGAAAATGCTTTAGCTTATTTAAAGTCGATTTTCTAAAAAGTAGAATTTAAAAAAACTTTACAGTGCGATGATATCCGATTGTCGGAACCAATGAAATCCGAAGCATTCCGATCCCGATTGACGGTTACTGTCGGATTTTATTACTTTCCGATATTAGGATCCGATATCGATTCCGGAACCAGGAATCCGACGATAATCCGATAGTTTCCGTGCGCCTACCGAAGAGCTCCGTCGGATTCCAATAGGAACCGATCGGAACTCATCGAATCCTAGGCTAGGATTTATTCTCCTGGGTTACTGTATCATTAAAGCATTTCCTTTCATCACTTACTTACTCGCATAGTGAATACAGAATGTGTTTTTCAACCATAGTTTTCTCTGAAAGTTTGCCAATTGATAATTTTAAAAAATTGCGATTTTTTTTTAATTCAATAGCAAACTATTTCTAACATGGTGCACAACTGTTAGTGTTACTACCGCGTTGATTCTATTGGGTTCTATCATTGGAACTGTAATACTCTTGATTATGAAACGTAAGTCATCTATTTTGATTCTTTGAAGCCTCATATGCAGCTATTGCTTGAGCAGCTATTATAGCAACGACGGTACCTACGTCAACTTCTACAACAGTCACCAGTAAATCTTTATCTTTCCATATGAAAATTTTTAACTTGCTTTATTCGTAGCATTGACTAGTACTACAGCTACAGCTAGCACTACCACTACATCAACAAGTTGGTTCATAGGCTCTCTTTTTTACAGCTAAAACAGTAACCTTTGTTTTAGCATCAACATCAACTAGTACAAGTAGCACTACATCAACAACGAGTAGTACTAGCTGTACGAGTTCCACATCTACAGCCAGTAACTGGTTCTTCAGGGCTTTCTCTTCATTATTTGAAACATTTGTTTATGTAGGCACAACGAGTACTTCAACCACTTCGTCAACCACTTCTACAACAGAAAGTAATTTCATGATCTTGAAAGTTTCAAGACCTAATTTTAGATAAGCGCATATTGAAAACGTAACGAATTGTCTCGATTTGATAACTTAGTACTGAGATTGAGTCTTTTTCTTTTTAGATTGGAATTTTTATTTAGAATGATATCATAACAATTTTTATCTTCTCATTTTAGCAACTTCAACATCAAGTACAAGTATTACATCATCGACGAGTTCAAGTATGTCTATAGAAATTTTAAAATAAAGAAGCAAACTTAGATTAACTGTCTTTTACCATGACTTATCAAGTCTAATGAGAACACAAGGAAGAACTAATTCGATTTTTATAATAAAAGAAAGCAACATTTGTCTAGTTCGCACTGAAGTTATGCACAAAAAGTTGAGTAGCTGCCTAATTCCAGTTCGAATATGAACGAAATTTTCCAAAATTTTCATCAGGTCCGATCCATTCAAGGAAAAAGATTAACTTTCTGCTATACTTTCCTATTATAGAATAGGAAAATAAGACAACCTTTTCTTCGAACTCGAATTTCAAATTATAATTATCTTGATGACGTTATTGTTACTATAGGAAAATAGGAAAAGGTTTTTTTCTTGACGGTGAGGGTGTGGATGTGTGTCTTCCTTATAAACCCCATCCCACCCCCACACCCACCGCCGAGCAATGTCATTGGATGTTCGTGGATTTTGCGGTGGAACTTTATGTAAGTTGGTTGAAATGTGCAAGTCGAGGTCGGCACTGGATTCAAAGGTTGAAGTACAACCACTTAAAGGGCACATGAAAAAGAGGCGATGCGCACGATCACGTATCCTAAATCCAGATAATATGTCAACATAGTGGAAAGATATCGTTTATACTTCTTAGACACAATGGCGTGATCTTCGTCATTGATTGGAACGGTGAAAGCACTAGTCAATCGCATATTTGTAGAGAAATCAATATTTTTGTAAGGCACTGAAGCATCTTTGCCAATGTTCGAAGCCTTGAAAACTTTCATGCATTTTGTGTTGTATTCAATAGGTCTTATAGTTGAGATATTTGGCACATTCGTCTTTCCCAAACAACCTTAAAAATGAAAAAAATCAAGATTAAATAACTGCAGTTTTTGTCGCTCATTACTACATACCCATCCCTGATATAATTTCCGCCACTGTTATTTTAGTATTTTTGATTCCTCCGGCATACTCCATACTCTCCTTAATATCGTTGGCGCTGAGTAAATCATTTCCATTCGAGATCCAGGAACACGTTCTTGCCTTAGCCACGCCACATACTCTGCCACATATATCCTTACCTTTTTGAACTTCACTATAGTCGCGAGTCAATAACTGAATGCCGATCTATTAAAAATGACACTATTGTTCATCTTAATTTTATATAAAGAACTTACCTGATCACAAATCATTTTTTCAATTTCGAGTGTTGAATGTGAAGAGAAATTACCCGTGTTATCTGTGCGCTTGTGTAACTTTTTTTGTATGCATGCGGTCTTCTTTAAATTGCTTAATAATGATCTCATTGGCACTTAGAGAATCAAGATCTGTTTGTGCAGCATTAGTTATAGCAAGAATGTAAGATTCAGTGTAGAAAGTAGGTGTTAAAGTAGAGGTAGTGGTCGCAGTTGTCGTCAACGAGTTTTTCCAGGCAAATGAGTCGAAAAGTACACACATCCCTTTCTTTCCAAAATATGTACTTTGCTTTTCCATAAAATCTTGAGGCAATCTCTTTTGACCCCAGTCGAATGTACAGAAGGCTTCGTCATCTCCAATTTGAGAAATAATCTTGTTCCTTGCCTCATTTTACCTCATTTTGCCGAGCACCACGAATATTATGGTGAGACCACTCTATGATGTGTTGAGATGCGTTATGAAAGTCGTACTGAGTCTCACGCTTCGTTGCTAATTTTTTTAATCGTTTCCCCAATCTCATAAAGTGTCCGGCTAATATTAATACAGTCGTGGTAATCAGAAGTATGTGCTTGAGTACACTTTGATTGATGTTCTGGACATTTAGGATAACTAAGACCGAAAGTAGTGCAATGTGTAATGCAATTGGAATTATCCGAGCAATGACCACTGTGGATCACTTTTTGATATTGCTCTGCCAAATCAATTTGCTTCAGTAAGCGTTTTCGATCGGCCTGTGGAACGGACATCCCATTGATAATATCTAATGATGTAACAGTCAAAATTGATGCTTTACGAGCAAATTTAACTTCCACCTGTCACATACTTGATAGACAGCTCCATGCTTCAACACCGTCGACAACGAATTCGTTCAATCCTGCTAAAACTCGTTGCTGTGCAGGTTTTAGACTGCTGAGAATAGCAAATAGTTTTCTGTTGCTGAGACGTTCGCAGTCAGTTTCTTCACAGTACTTTTTGTAGTTAACAATAGCATGCGTCGCTTGAGATTGAAGTATTTGCTTTGATAATTCCACCTTTTCTCCGTTGCCCATGCGTCGAGTTGTGAGACCATACGTGCTTATTAATTAAGAAAAAAATGCAAGTTTTTGAGAAATAGTAGAAACAGAAACTATTCAGGTTTCTGACAGCCTGTAGATCGGTAAGCAGTTCAATTTCTGATAATCAGTGATCTACTGATAAACCGATCGAAAAACTCCATCGGCGCTTTTTCAGAGAGAGACTTCAGATTACACTTTACCTGAAACGAGAGTATCGCTTTCGATGAGCCAGCTGACAAAATGTGCGATCTTGCTAAGATTGACACGCTATAGATTATCTGATTCTTTTTCTGCTTTTAGCATGTACTCGTTGCCGTCATGAATTTGATGAGCAGTTTTGATTGCATGTCGGAAGCATCCAAATTTTCCATCGCGTCTTCGTAGCCCCATAACCTGGGTAGTAGTGAGAGAAGCCGCACTTGCTCCGCGAAAAACATTCTTTGCTCGACGTACATGTCATAAATCTCTTTCACATTTTGAACTACTTCGTTATTGATGGATGAATTAATCATTTGATTTTTTTGTCGGCATCTATTTCGAGTCCAGCCAAAAGGAGCAATTCTTTGCCTTGATCTGGTGCAAGTGTTTCAGCTAACTTTTCTAGAATTTAAATATTATAAATCAACAGAGTATTTTATTTTTCCAGAACAAACCTTGCAAACTATGTGCTCCTCGACTCAGTTTGGAAAGCAAGGGGTGGATACCACTTTTTGATTGACGCTGTAGCGCCATCCTTGTGTGAGATCGAATTGGGCTTAGATTTGCCTCAGCTAAGATTCGATTCATTGTATCTCGAGTATCTTCAATGAAACATGGGGTGCTATTCGTAAATTGAGACTGACAAGTAATTGATTCAGAATCCGGAGACACCGATATAAGTTTTCTGTGCTTTGAGCACAATCTAAAATAAAAATGTATTAGCTTAAATGAATCATTAGATGGGGGAGAAAGATCACCCCTTCGGTCGATTGTGAATTCTTCTATCCTTGAACAAATAGAGAGATTAGCCCGATGGCAATCAGAAGCAGGTGGACGATACTTGGAATCATGATTCGAGTGATTGCATTTTGGAATATCGTCACACCAGTCTATTCAAAAAAAGCTGCGATGCTTCAGACAAATTGACACGGAATCGTCGATGAGAATATTCTTGAGTAGTAACCGGTTCGCAATCAAATTCTTCTCGTTAATTATTATGTTGTCATCTTCTACTTTGTTAATAACACAAAGATTTTTAAGATGTGGTCGAATGTCTTGTTCAGTTTAGTAAGCTAATGTGTAACACTGTCGTTTCCAGTCAAAATAGTCTAGATAGAGACTGTAATTATATAAGATAATTTAGGTAATAAGAGTTTCTTACGATATGGTGACGTTCCGCATGTAGCCATTATCTCTTTACTCCAGAGGCAGCATTGGCCATAATTAACGGGAACCAAAGCCGGTTTAGAATGAAAACTTATGCTTTCTTCTTCAGTGCCCTCGATAAGTATCTTTTCTGAGAATAGACATAGTTTTCACATGAAAAATCTTCAACACAAACCAACTAACCTGGAAATTTGTCTCTTCGATGCTCGTCTTCATTGACAACAATTAACGGTACATATAGTGTCAACATAGGTGCAGGCTCGATGTATGAACTGGCACCAAAATAATTATCAGTAACATCCTTAGACAAATTATTGCTCTTGATGAGACCATATTCGACAGAAAGAGAACCATTGAAAGACGACATAGTAGAGGCAGAACCTACATAGTTTTATCGCTCAAATTGACAGTTCACTGGCATACACTTTTCATTGGCTGATTAGCACTTCTAATTGTTATTGTTCAACCACTCACGGAGTTCTCACTGTCTCTCGATTGATTTTCAAGCGTATTTGACGCAAAAGAGTTTTATCTTGCATAAGAGTCAGTACCAGTTGACCATGTGCTTTCACATGTGGCGCTGATGGAGCCCACTGACATATTCGAGTAACTAGTGTCTTTCGCTGATGTATTCGAAATACTAGGAGCAAATATTCGCGAGGCTCCATCGTTATTAATAGTTGAATCACTATCTACTCTTCAAAGTAGGTAGGTTGGTACACACGACCAGAACGATAGTATTGATCAGTCATCTTACACGAAAAAGATATTTTTCATAGCGATTTGTTTCTTTTCATCACTATCTTTCATTGCCTTTCTTTCGTTCTTGATTTCGTCGCACTCCATGAACTTTATTTTCATCGACGAGAGCATTTATTGTGAGCAATAGAGACAAAAAATTAAGGTTATTTCTCCTCCCAACAATGCTCCGTTCAATAATGACTCTCCCTTGAGTGTGGTACAATCCAATATGCCCATTACTGTCTACTGTGTCAACCATTCTCGTGATCAAGTTGAACATACATATAATATAAACTCACATTCTCCGTCATAATGCTTTTCAATAAAGATTCTCTAGAATCCAACTGCCCCATAATATAGTGGACTCTAACTTAGTGTGAAAATCACATATGTGCCACTGATCATTTTATCACACACCGGATTCCATTCAACCGAACACATTTTTCGAACACTATATATTTTAACACTGATTTCTGACACAATAGGTGTACTGTTAATATTATCTGCATCGAATAATGTAGAATGTATTAGTCGATCTAGAAACATTAAATTTGAACTGAACGCTTCTTGCTACGTGCAGTTCATAAATAGCTTGTACTAGTACTGATTTCGATAAATGACGGGTTCCAGCAGCATTATGAAAGTTAAAAAGTGATCCCACTTCTATCATAGGTTAATGAGTATAATAATGTTGAGATAGAAAAATATTCTATCTCTTCCAAAATAGTAAACATTTTTACGATATAAATTTTTTAATGCCACCTCCGAGCCTTCTCCCCTCCCCCATCTTACTAGAATACGAGTCAGTCACATGCAGCATATTAACGGCATCATCCTCTCCATGAAAAATTGCTCACATGTTCCAAATATATCATGTTTTTTAGTTTGCGAAGCTCAGCTTGAAAAAAGAAGTTAACCTGTTCGAGACTCTCGATACGCCTCGTGTGGTCACTGCTCCTATAGAAATCCCCCGATACTCTTTGCAGAATCGAATAGAAAAAAGTCAGGCCTATCAGGGCCAAGAATAAAAATCGTTAATACACATGTAGATTTTTAGATCGACACAATCTAAAAATGCTAATTTTTGGCAAGGTTCGCCTAAACGAAGGTTTTGTGTTGGGAAGCTGAAAGTTTCACTAGAATGAGGCATGACTGATGGTTTTATATAGATAAAATTTTAGCACTACACTGTTTTGATCACAAGATATTAGACCGTGAAAAATTGATGAAATAATCATATTTTGCTTATACAAAGGTGCACACACGGAAATTAAAGTACAAGCGTTTCACTTGATATTTTTCATGGTAACAGCATTACCGATTGTAAGTATTGGCACGAAATTTCAGCTGAATCGATTCACTTGTTCTCGAGATATGGTCATAATACCGAACGGATTAGTTAAAATTTTGAATTTAAGCACTTTTCGTAAAAATGCAGTAAAAATATTTTGGTTCAATATTTTATATTGCGGTTTGCGTCAAACATCATCAAACACTTTTATCTATCACATACATCAATATGAACGATATCTGAGATACTCGATTGAGCAGTACCACTCAATGCATTATTCGGTCGTGGCTTACGTTCAGTGGCTCTTAAATCACATTTTATCATGATCTTTATATTTATGATAACTTTTGGTTTGAGTTGAAAAATCAAGAAGATGTGTTGCATGATACTTGTTAAGTATTGTGATAATGGAACAATGAAATTGTTGCTTTATCACTCAATATATCAATAATAAGACATTATGCAGTTGAAGATAGTTTCATTGCTTCTTCATTCTGTTGTGTGCCACAATTCAATATAAAAAAATGCTAGCAGGATATTTTCTCATAATTGTACTTTTTTTTATCATGAGATGACAATAAATTCACAAGTTATTTCTTTGTGAAGTTGAAACAGACTAAATCAACCATAGAAAACCGTAAATAAATGTAATTATCTCTGTTCGTTGGTAATTTAACACAATGCATTTGCTTCCATGAGACCAATAGTTTTTTAAATAATTTAAGTTCATCATACGGAGTATATTTTTTTTGAAGAATATATAAATAGGCACATCAGTCATATTGAAAGACTTTATATATCATGTGAGTTAGATTATTGAAAACATTTGTACGTACTTAACTGATCTATATTTTTTCTCGATATTTTGAATGTATGAAGCCATTTATCAGTATAAGGCTTAACTTCTTATCGTCATAAAAAAAATGCTTCATTCCCGTTTAAATATGTATTCATAAAATGCATTGTACTAGAGTAATGTGATTGTTGTTGATCAAATAGACCGAAATATTTTTTCAGATCATATCAATACAATTCAGTATCACTCATCGTTGTAATAGCTAATGTATTTATCAGAGCTGCGCTAGATGACCAAAAAGTTCTTCCAACTAGTCCCGTATCCCGGCAGTTTGTTCCAGCCGTCCAGTCCCACTTTGTTCTTTTTTTACAGTGTCACGCCCCTCATCGTCTCGCCTCGTTTCGTAGTATTTTAATGTATAAACGCAATACTTTCTTTTTATCGAAAAATGTAATTGAAACATACTGGCTAACTCATAGTTTCTTGTTCAGTGAAACTCATTCGTTTTACTATTTATATATTACACGATAGTATTTACATGAGAAAAATGTCCACCACAATGGCATTGACATAAGAAAGTCGCTGTTACAAAAATAAAGAAAAGTGTAATAAGAAACACAAGCAAAAGTACTGCTTCTCGAGTAGCTGATCTAAGAAAACATACATCGTTAAGATTTGTTCAACTAATTGAAGATCTTTGCTCCATCATAGTAAAACTGGATGTGAAGGGAGGGGGATAGATTTTGGACCTTGGTGCATCTCAAAGATTCTGTTGGACCCTTGACCTGATTCACTCGGCAGTACCAAAATGTTCATCAATAACTACTAGAATGCTTAAAAATAAATTGAGATATATTAAGTCTCGCTGAAATACATTCATCCCAACTATATTTTAGCAACGTGCACTGATTCTTAATAAAAAACAATAATGCGAATCCTGATGGATGCTGACGAATTCTTATGGACACCAATGAACGCTAATAAATTGTAAAATAGATTTATTAGAATCTAATGAGAATTATCAGAACTTACTTTAATTGGGTAAATTCCAACTTCATGAAGAATTTGAATTTGAGGCAAATTCAAAATGCTTATACTGCTATACTGCTATAACACTATAGCGGTATAGGGATGTACCGGTAACTAGATCTCACATATCCCTTACAGAGGCAGAGGGGCAGGGGGAGAAGGTACCCCCGCACCCACACTAGATACCCCACCGTATGGTATAGTAGTATAGCGATATACTGCTCATACCGCTATACCACTACAGTTTTTATTTTGTCACAAATAGAAATGACTTTAATGAATTCGATTTTACCGCAAATTCATATTCCCCATCATATGTAAATTCCACAGTCTAATTTAATCCATGAAAAGTTAATTAGGTTTACAATAATTTACAACCAATGCCGAATGATGAAATCTGGAGGATCCTAGGATCCACCGGGATTTACCTCTTCTCTTTGTCCTCTCGCTAAATTTACGCACAACGGTCGGTTCTGCTTGTGTGAGTTTGGAGGGACAGATAAGTGAATTGATCGGGTCCTGTCCCGTGAGGAATCATGCTCAACCTCGTTTTGTCCTGTCATATTTTCAATTTTATTGTCCCGTCCTGGGACGGGATCGATCCCGCGCCCCACAGAACTCTAATGCACACTATTCTGTAGCAACTTTCCTGTAGAACAAACACGATCGAACGAAAGGATGTGATCATTTCTTCTTCCCTAATAATTTAGTTCAGAAGTGTAAGCTATTTTCCGATTCTCTTTGCTGAATATTTTATTTTCGAGCTGACTGCAATTCAAGAATGTGTCAAGAAAGACTAGAATTAAGGATCATTGATTATTGGTATCTCGAATTTTCTCTCATACTAAGATTCTTATACACGCTTTAGAGTTTACAATGTATCTATCAAATCTCTTATATTACCATATCCATGTTGTTTTCTTTTTCTCTCATGTTTGTGCAATTTTCATAAACTTACATAACTTTTGATTCTTTTGAAACGAACAATGTGTGTATCAATATCAGCTTCATGCAACTTTGAATATGATTAAATAGTAATGAAAGTATTTTTGAGTTGAAAAATTAATAAACGATAGCTTATTTGAAGCTTATTTGAAGCTTCTTTGTCTTCTATTTTTAGAAAGAAGTTTTATTTTCATTGCTCAGACTAGTCTTCAAGTCAAGAACAAATTAGTTAACTATAACAACTCCAGCTTGACTCATTGATCAGAGTGAAACTTTTTGTTCACATTAGGTGAGCTGAAAGGAATCAGCGGTTGTTTTAAGATTTTATTCACCTAATTAATTCTCGAACATCGATTCATTCAAACTGTTATAAATAACTGTGAAAGATAAAATTAATTTTTTTACTATTCGCATCAACGGAGTTGGTTAAAAGGAAGATTTCTTATAATTTATATCAATTGATAAAAATCTTAAGAAGTCTTCTAGATAAATAACTAATATATCTTTGGACGAATGCTACAAAGTACTAATATCACATTATTTTGAAAAGAAACTGTTCTACTTTTTTTAAAGGTTTCAATATCTATTAACTTTTAATAGAGTCTTTCAAATAGTTAAATTTTTATTGACAGAATGAATACGATCGTTTCACAATTTCAAGTGTGTTTATAAGAAAAAAAGAAAAAAGCGACCATAACTCATTCCATATTACATTAGATTAAAAGAAACTTTTTGTTGTGAGTTCATATTTTAATTGCATTTGTCGTCACTCATTCTTAAATCAATATTAAATATTTTTTGAAAATGTTCTAAAAATATTGGTGTTATCTCCTTAACAGTTACTGTTCTCGCCGATGATACTTCATCACTCAATGAAGTTATATGTCGTCGATCAAATCCGCATGGTACAATATGATCAAACCAACTCATATCAACCGAACAATTAATTGATACACCATGAGATGTTATTCCACGTGAATAACGTATACCCATAAAAGCAACTTTTCGTTGATTATCTACCCATGCTCCAGCATAATTTACTGTTCGTCCATTTTCTGTCCCTGGATAAACTCTTGTTTGACCAACAATTTCTCGACAAGTCTCAACTAATGTTTGTTCAAGACGAGCGATATATGTTCGAAGTGTTAATTGAAGATGTTGATGTTGCAGAGGAAGAATTGGATAAGCAACGAGCTGACCTGGCCCATGAAAAGTCAATAGACCACCACGATCAGTTTCATGGAAATTTGCACGAAGTGAACGTAATCGTTCAATATCAGCCGAATTAATAATAGATGACGATCGACGAAGACCACAAGTATAAACTGGTTCAAATTCAAAAAGTAATAATGTAGGATTACTACCGTTTCCATCCGCTAAACGTTTAATATAATGAGATTGAAGTGATTGACCATAAGCATAAGAAATTAAATTTTTACATTGTCTAACTTCAACTAGAAGACGTCCACGATTCATTGATACAAATCAAAAACAAACAAGTTTATTAAAAATATATTTCTAGAAATGAATGCATACGTTTTTATTTAAAAAAATTAGGTATTTAACATATCATAAATACATTTCAAAACAAAGTATTTATTTATCATAGATATTGGTTATTGATAGAATCGGCTTCGTTGTTAAGATATAGTGTCGTTTGATTGATATCAGTTTTATTATCGATAACAGAAATTTGATAAATTGTATTGTTCGTCATGAATATAAAATGAAACTTCATATTGACAAAATTCTCACTAAGCCTATCACTAGAACTTAAAGACTTAAATTCATAACTGTACAATTTGCAAAAAAGTTACTTTTCTTGTTTAAAAAAATGTATATTTGTTGAACTTTTAGAAACAAGTTCGATGGAGATACTATACTACTGTGCTAGTTAGCGCAAAGACAGATTTTCAGTTTAAGATAACGATTTATTTTAAACTGAATTACATTAAAAAACAACATTAAGAAAGGTAACATTATTTTCTATTGATTCCAATTTGATAAATGTAAAATCATGTGATATGGTAGATGATGATTTATCCATTTCAATTAATAAAGTGTGGCTCATCCACGTAGGAGAGTTTAGTATAGATCAAATGTTTCATTGGTTGCAACAGAAAAAAAGCTAGTAAAATGATAAAAGTCATAAAAAATCACACTTATTCTAAGACTAATCAATATATTTTGTTCGGGAAGCATTGATCACCATTATTTACTCTCGTTGGTATTTCAGTGAAAACGTTTTTTAGCTTAATTATTCATCAGATGGTGAAGCTATATGTCTCCAACTTTCTTAGTTATATAAAAGAAACTGCACAATACGACATTTCTATGGAGGCTAATTTTATAAAAAGAAGTATCACTGGAATTATCTTCAGATGAGAAAATAAATCAGCTAGGAAACGTTTAGCATTCTGTACTAAACTATCTGTAAGAACATGACATAAAATTTGAAAAACACTCTTTTTGGTATTCATATTAGTGTATGCCATTTTGCTTGTTTCTCTCATCTTGATATTTGCTAATTCTGGGTCATTCATTACTATTCCTTGCCAATCAATCCGCTGTTGTGATATTTCTTTTATCGAATACAGAGAAAATATTTGAAATCAAAAAAATTAACTTGCGCAAAGCTAATTCTTCTCTTTTATACTTTCTAATATCGATAAAATTGCCTTTCCCTTTCGATATAAATATATTTTTTTTGTGTGTAATGACTTTTATCTTGAATTTCTGTGCTTAGGTTAGTATCATAAAATGGTAGTAGATTCACTTGGCAATTTCTTTTTTCTGTGGTTCTATATTAATTTTTGGCTTTCACAATTATTTATCTTTAATTCTCAATCTTTCACTGATACATATACATACTATTCACTTAATAAACTATCAATAGATCTATATACAATACTAGCTTTTTTATTCCAGCTGTGTTTTTAAGACTTTTGTTAGTCACTGCTTGAAGTTGTATGAATATTTTTCTTTTATATTTATCTTAAAAAAAACCCAAATGCGAAGAATTCCACCATAGATAGAGAAAGACTTCAACTAACTAAACAAAAACTATCGATTTTATTTTCTATTCTCTTTGCATGAGTCAAAATAAATCGGAACATAACTTTATGATTGTAAAGTGAGGAAAATAACAAAATATTCTTCTTGAAATATTTTTGCAGTTTATTGATAACTCTGATTGAATATTCGAATACGCGTTAGCAATATTGGATTAGCATCATACTTTTCATCGATTATTGTTAAGGAAAATTGTCTTCAATTGCTCTTAGACATTAATTCAAATGTTTTCACAGTATTGTGCATATCTTTTGTCAAAAATAAACTATTTAAAAAATATATGATTACACTATTACTTTACTCACTAGATCTATACAGTATGGATTAACTATGTTCAAATAGTTTTCAGATAGGTAACCATAAAGTCAATGTTTCATAAGAGAAGCATTGTGACGATGAATTTAATAAATTAGAAATCCAATAAATAAGTAGAAAACGCTTACTTAAATCAATAATTCAAGTTATTGATCAATATTTGCAAAGTTCGTGGAAATGCCATATTCGGAGGTTTGAGTTTTTTCAACAGTCAAAAATGAATCATATACAAAGAAATGTAATTCGATTCAGAAAACTTTTCTAAAACGAAAGACATTAGAGAAAATTTACTATTAAAATAAAAGCTTATCAATAAGTATGTCAAACAATAATTATATCTTACGAGGGAAGGTCTCCAAGTGATACCAACCATTCCGGTTCATATTGTGCTCATAAGTAGGACCCAGTGAAACTAGAAAAAGCCTAAAAGATTTCGTGCCATTAGGCCTTTCTTTCAAAGTTATAACCGTTTTACTAAATTTTCGAGCTTGAACAAGGAATTTATAGAAAACTTGTATGAAGGAATTTCGAACTGAAAATTTTCCTAACAATAGGTCTTATCGATGTTAGAAGGTTCCAAAAGTTTCAGTGAAAACGGATGCATCATTCTTGTGGTATTGCATATTGATGAAAACGGCCATTTTCCAAAAACATGTCGTAAAATTGACTTCTCTTCAATATGCAATATCTCGAGAATGATGCATCCATTTTCACTGAAATTTTTGGGACCTTCTAACATCGATGAGATCTATTGTTAGGCAAAAGTTCAGTTCGAAAATCTTTCATTCAGTTTTTCTGTAAATTCCTTGTTCAAGCTCGAAAATTTAGTAAAACGGTTATAACTTTGAAAGAAAGACCTAATGGCACGAAATCTTTTGGACTTTTTCTAGTCTCACTGGGTCCTACTTATGAGCACAATATGAACCGGAATGGTTGGTATCGCTTGGAGACCGGCCCTCGTTAGTGAAATTTTCTCTATGTCCTATATTTTTCATTGAAGACTTCAGCTTATTTTATTTGCACTAACGTAAGTGATAGTAAACCTTGACACTTCTGCTTATAAATCTATAATAATGGCAGTCTATACCTATTATATTTCTTTCCTAACGACAATCTGAAAAAGAAATATTTATATATAGTTACATGGAAACATATTGTTACTAAGGAATAGTTTATTTTTGTTCGATTTCGATTTCAATGAAAACTATAGAACAAAATAATCCGACAAATCAGCAAACAAAAAGATCCTTAGCACAAAAATATTTTCTTTGGCTTGACCCATGTGAAATATGGTGTTTAATGCGTAAAAAAACTCGGTTTAATTCAACATTTTATGATTGTATTCAATTAGCATTAGAAAATTCATCAGATACAATTTGTGGCTTATATGCATATGACGGAGATTGCTATGAAGTATTTCGTAACATTTTTTGGCCCGTAATTATGGATTATCACAAAGTTGATATACGAAATTTGACATTTAAACATGATTTTGGTGATGTTCAACATATTCAAGATTTATCGTCAGATATTAACAAACAAATTTTATCAATACGTATTCGTATTAATCGTTCTATTCAAGGTTATCCTATGATACCTAAATTGAACTTGAATCAATTATTAGAAATTGAAGAACGTATTCGAAATGCATTCGAATATTTAGATCAAGATTTACAAGGTGAATATCGTTCACTGAAAGATATTAGCGATATGGATCAAATTGATCTGCGAGAAAAATCTATTCTATTTCAAGTAATTACGAGCGTAACAGAATATTCTTTTAGTTTTTGTGTTATTCGTAGAAACCGGCATATCAACATGCAGTCAATGCCGTAGCATATGATCAATGGCCAACTGGTAATAATCAACTGTAACACTATGATTTGTTGATATTTTCTCAATTATTCATATCATACTATACCAGTGACTGAATCCTAATATAAACTTTCTATGGAGAAAATCACTGTTTGTAAATATTCAATGAGTAAAGAGAAGTCATTTTTAAAATGATTACTAAACGACAAAAAAAGAGGAAACAGTTATTGAAACAAAAACATATTTCGGATATTTTTAATACTCTCTTCATTTCTACCAGGCCGTGGAATTTTTATAAATAAAAATCAGAATTTTATAATTTGGATCAATGAAGAAGATAACTTAAGTTTTATTTCTCAATCAAATGATGGTAAAATGAATGAGATCTATGAACGAATGATACGTGCTATAGAAAAACTAAACCAAACATTCGAATTTCAGCAACATCAACGTTTAGGTTATTTAAATTTATCACCGATGAATATTGGCACAGCGTTACAAGTTAATATTCATATCAAATTATTACATTTGGAAAAATTTAATCCATTGATTGAATTTTGTAAAAAATTAGATATTCACATTGAAAATACAAATGAATATAATATTTTTAATCTATCAAATGTAATACGATTAGGACGAACTGAATTTCATATTATTCGTCTCATGTGGGATGGTATTGAACAAATAATTAAACAGGATATTCATCAATCATAAAAACAAAAAAAACGTGAACTAAACCTTTTATTCATCACTAACACATACAAAAAAACTTGAACAACAACTATTTTGATATTTCATCATACGGATTTTCATATTTGTATTTCTGGCGTATTTCATTAAAAATACGTTCAGTATCTATAGGACTTTCAGCTGTCCAAGTTTTAATCCAACGCGTTTTATATCTTGGTTCCCGTAAAATATCATATTGAGTTGGAGCATGACTTTTGCCTGGTCCATGTTGTTCCATAACTAAATATGTACGTAAACGTTGATCTATACGACGAGAATATAGACCAGCTTCTTTCAATGTGAATGGCTATCAAGTAAAAATAAGATATTGTACACTAATAAATAATTAAAGGTAAATCGATACATACATGCCGATGTGCTCCCCATAAACGATACCAATAGTTTCGCGAAACAGGCATTCTCTATAGAAACTATGCTAAAATATATGAATGATCTTTTCAAAGAATTTTCAGGATGCAAAGGTCTGATTTAAAAATATGTAATAAATTAAATGTTCAATTTCGATAAGGTGAATATACACAATATTAAAACGTGAATAAATAAATGTAGATTTATTCTATTATATGTTCATTAATCGAATGCCATCATCATATTTAAAAGCCCATATATACATATATCGATCGCGTTTACTTAATAGATGTCACTTGTTGACACTGATGATCATTGCTCTTTAGTGTTGTATTCTTATAAATATATTTCGATGAAAAAAGACCAATCTTTTATCTAATTTTCAGTTATAAAACATCAGACATCAAGTTCGGCATTGCTTTTAATATCTTCACCGACTAAATTTTCCTAATTCATTACTTTCAGTTATTTCAAGCCTAGTTCAACTGATTCGTATATTAAAAGGATTTTAAACATAAGTTTAGTATCAGTCACTGATAGTTCATATAAATTTCTTTGTCTTGAGAATTTTCGAAACATGTGAGTTCACATACTAAAATTTTAGTAGTAGTTCGTTGAACATTTTCTTTACAAAAGAAATCTCTTCTATCCATTTTTATCTTAGCTGTGATCATTTTATTTATCTTTCTGGTTGGCAAAGCTACAATAATTATTTGTTTCTTCTGTTTATAATTATTCATAAAATTTGAAATCAACACTATTTATATTTACTTAACTTTAATCAACTACCGTGGTTTAGTTTTTATGCCGTATACGTCACATAAATGAAATGGTTGTCACTTCCGCTGTACAATTATCAAAATTACAATCACGCATTGCTTTTTTTCCTTCACTAAAATTTTCTATTAATAAATCTAATCATAAAATATTTATATAATAGTAAGGTTCGATGTATGTTTCAAAGTTTTATTGAAACGAAACATCGTTAATCAATAACATATACACCGTTGTTGTCTACAACGTACTCCCATCTTTTAGGCAAATCCAGAATGCCATCTTCAAAACATTTTTTGGACAAAGACGACAAGAAACTTTCCAGGTCCGATTTTAGATGTGCTTGATCATCAAAGTGTTTTTTGACCAGATGATTGCGGAGCGACTGGAACAGATGGTAGTCGGGGGGTGCCATATTTGGTGAATATGGGGATGGAGTAAGACATCCCACCCCAACTCTTCCAGCTTTTGACGAGTAATTTTTGCCGTATGCGGTTTTACATTATCATGAAGTAATCGAACTCTTCGTCTATCTGAACGATTTGCTTGCATTGCAACCTTCAAACTTTGAAGCTGGTGGTAGTACAGCTTTGAGTCGATCGTGGTATTAGGAAATAGAAGTTCCCCATAGATAACGCCTTCAAAATCCCACCAGATTGATAGCATAATTTTCTTTGGGTGTAAATCATTTTTGGGTGCTGGTTTCGGGCAAATCTTCAGGATTGACCCATTGGCGCTTGCGTGTATGATTAACATACATCACCCACTTTTCATCCCCAGTAACGATTTTCTAGAGAAATCTCTGTCGATTGCGTTTTGAGGGCAAAACATTGCATATAGCCATTCGTTGCTGTATGTTATCTGGAGTTAATTGGTGTGGTAGCCATGTCCGAAGTTTATTCACTGGCCCATTTGATTTGAATGACGATCAATTGTCGATTGGTTGCACCCAAGGATAACTGATAATTCGCGCGTTGTGAATCGTAGATTGTGTTCAATTACGATTTTGAGACGATCAATGTCAGATTCCAAAGGACACCCAGACCTCGGACGATCTTCCAAAGATATATCTCCATCACGAAACCTTTTGAACCAATCTCGACAAGTGCGATCGGCAACAGTACCTTCGCTAACTGTAGCACATATAGTGCGGCCAGCAACACGTGCGTTGTTCCCTAAGTGAAACTGGTACAGAATGCTATGTCGAATATGACTAGAAATCTCTGACATGGCTCAACACATAGTGTAAATAAATTTGGATATTTGCTAATGTCATTTTATAGTACAACACAAACGGTATCATATAGATGAAAACCTCAAATGCACAGTAGCGCTAGATGGTTTTAGATAATTTAAAAAAAAATCGGCGAAGACTTTGGCATCAACCCAATATTTTAAAAAATTGACAACAACTATATGTACTTTCAGTAAAGACATCGAATGGTACTCATTCAGACGCATCAATACATGTAATTCATCAGGAACATTTTTCAATGCATCTATGAATGAGTCAATTTCTAGATACGTGCATATATAAAAATATATTATTCATTTGCACAAAAATTAATAGCAAAACCAATCAAGCAAATTGTTTTTGTTTACCTCACCTGCATGACACATTCAGAGCTAACATACTTGCCAAAGTTTTATCATCATTCCCCGACGCAGTTATTTTATTGAAAATGACCACATTATTGTCAAGAAATATAACAAAATTCAAAACAAACTCTTCAAACATTCGAATATATCACAATGGTCAATATCCATTAGAAGACATTGCCAATGTTCTTTATTCTGTCTTTCATTTATATTCTTCATATGAGAGCATTATTGAAATGATAAATATATCTGATCATATTTTTTTTGCATACGATCAAATTCAACATCGTTGTGTTGCTGGTGCCATTCTCAGTAATAGTAATCCAAAAGGAGGTCTTTATTTAAAATTATTCGGCGTGAGAAAGTCAAGTCAACATCGTGGATTAGGTACAAAACTATTAACAGCAATTATTCAATGGGCATATCAAACAAGACATAAATTTATTTATTTACATGTGCACGTTAAAAATTTCAAAGCCATTGGTCTATACGAAAAGGTTGGTTTTCGTAAAGTTGAATATATACCTGATTATTATAATCAGACACCAAAAGATAAACCTGATGCATTTCGAATGACTTTGATATTACGATAATGTGTTCAAATCTTTTAACTTTTTATACAAATCAAATAAACATATGGTTTTATAGATTTTTATTATTTGTAACGTACAAAAAAAAAGAAAGAAGAGAATAAACATATTCTTCTCCATTCAATATGTTCTTCGAAATAAAAGAAACACAAATCTAATACATATTAAGAAATGAAAATACAGATCCCCAATGAAAAACGATAATATGGACACATATAAATGGACGGCATTAAATTAAATCTAATTTATAATGTTCATAGTTTTTTTTTTTCTAAAGTAATTTAGGTAATTTACGTATTTGACTCAAATCGAGTATTTTGGCTTGTTGAGCACGAGGAACAGGTGGTTGTGTAAAAATAGGTGGTGACGATGGTGGTAGTAATGGTAAAAGCATTCGTTGACGAGGTGGAGAGGATGTTAATAGATCATTGTCATCTGACGATAAATAATTTTGTTGTTGACGATTATATCCCGTTAGAATATTATATTTTTGAAAATATTTTTGTGTTGCAAACGACATATTTTTATCGAAACTTTGAGGGGATTGTCGTACTGTACTTGGTGGTGTTGGCGATTGACGATCATAATCAGTAGCAATTGCTAACTGATCATCATCTAGATATTTCATTTGCAAACTGCGCACTTCAATTGATAGATCATTTTCTGATTGTTGATTTGATGATGAAATCAGGCCACTACTTAAAGGTGTTGAAGGTACAGACGTAGGAAGAGCAGGCGAAGAAGGAGGCGGAGGAGCAATCGATGGAGGCACTGGTGGATAAACAGTAGTTGTACTACTTTGTTGATTAATAATTTGCATTTGAAGGCCATTAGAAATAAAACTAATGCCTGTTGTCGTTGTCGATGTCACATGTTGCTGTTGTTGAATAACATTAGCTAATTGAGACATTTTTTCTGCTTGTCGACCACTTTCTTCATCAATTGTTTTTATTATTGCTGTATCGAATGATTTCGATGTTGTCATCAATGGAGAAGTACATCGTTGATACTCGTGTTCTTGTTGTTGTTTATGCTGTTGACTGGCCATAAATTGAAAAAATGGTTTAAGAATATCCACTGGATTGAGATCCGTTGGTACCGATGCACGTGAAGGTGACATTGATCGAATAGGTGTATGATGATATGGAACACAAATATTGTCAGTAGTCAGTCGTTCAGCATCAGCAGATTTGCGAAGCGAAGCATAATCAATTACTGGTTCTGGTTGACGAGCAACTGATGGTGGTGGAGGAGGAAGTGAAAGTGGCGATTGAAATTGAGCTGCCGAGCAAGGTGTCTAGAAAAAGAAAAACGAAACTATTTACAATAGATAAAAAGCATGTGATTAAACCAACTCTTGTAGTTATTGTCATGATTGGTGTTTGTTGTTGATAATGCTGAAGATGTTCAATTTTTGGTGATGATGATGGTGAACTATTTCGATTACTTTTAACCATTGATGCTGACTCGCCAATATCATCGCTTGTACATGGCGATGGAGGTTCACTTTGAACAGCAACATCACATTTTATAGGTTCTCGTGTCGGTGTTGAGATTGAGCTTTGCTGTAGTTGCTGGTGTTGATGCTGTTGAGTAGCTAACAGCTGAGAAACAAGTGCATTTAATGATTGAATATGAGCATCATATGCTTGCATTTTTTCAAGCATTTCCTCTTTCCATTGAGCATCTTGAATAGCAGTTGACGGTGAAATAGTTGACGATGCAATTGTTGATGGAGCTGGAGATGAAAATCGTATTGGTACTGGTGTTGGAGGTGATGTTAGAGCTGGAACTGTTAATGCTGGAACATTTGCAGGTACAGGTGCAATCCATTTGGGTGTCGTCATCGTTGTAGTTGAAATCGAATCCCATGATGGTGATTGATGTATTGATTGCTTTGGTGGTAAACGAGGAACCCCAAATAAACTTCCATTTGTATTAGGCGATGAAAGTGCTGTTTGAAGATGATGTTCTTGCTGAATTCGTTCAATTTGACCATGATGAAGACCATTATCATCATCGTCATCGTCGGATGGTATTTCTGCTGTAAGAAAAGATAGATCTGCTGGTAATTGAGCATTTTTTGTAGATCTAATAGTTTGATATTGATTAGAAAGAGAAATATTTCCTGTATGCGCTCCTAAAAGCGCATGCATTTTTGGTCCATCATAAACATGTTTAAATTCAAAATCGTACGGTAATTGTGTACTAACACCTGTATCATGTGAATGCATTGTTGAAGAATTAGGCATAATAATTTTTTTGGAACATGTCCATAAATCATAATCAATCATGAATGCTGATGGTGTAGAACTCGTCGTCATTGAACTAACTTCATAAAAATCACATTGACCACGAGACGTAGACAAGTAACATGCAAGTAGAAATGATTGTTGTGTGGTATTATTAACATTTATTCCTGTACGTAAACGTTGTTTAAGTGATGAATTCATACAATAACGAAGACATGCTGCCCAAACAAAGGCACATTGAACATCAACAATACCAGATACCCATCTAAAATTAATAAATAATAAAACATTAAAAAAATCAGATTAAATATGAAATCTTACATTCCAACTAGTGGTAGAGCACATGCTTGTGGATCATTTTCAAGTATTAATAAAATTTTATTCTTCGACATTCGGTCTAAGCCACAATAGCCAAAATGTGGTTGATTTATATAAACACCATTCCCAGTCGATGAGCTTAGATTTTTCAATAAAGCTGTTGGTAATATTTGAACATACTCAGAATTAATTGGTGTTAGTTTAAAATTATTTTTAATTGTTAAAAGATCAAATGATAAATCAGCATTTATGGATGGTGATAAACGTGACAACATTTGACCATGAAGAAATGAAAATTGATGCAATTCAATGGGTAAAGATGAACGACAATAAACATCGATTATCTACATATCAATGAATAAATTACATAATTATTTTTGTTAAAATCAATTTAATCGATTATAAGAAAATTATCTTAGCAGATGAACTGGTGAAATTTATTTTTATATAGTACATATTATCAGTTCTTTCTTTGCCCGACTTCCTAAGAAAGTTCAATCTTCACACGGATACACAGCTTTAGGATCACGTGTTAACTAAATAGCACATGAATGTCATTCTTATCTGTATGTTTATATTTCTTTGAAATAAGTTAAAAAAACTATTTTTCACATGAATTGTGAATTATATTGTGATCTGTATACAGCACCATAAAGTTTAATGTTCAAAGCAAGTATGTTTAGATAAGTAATGATTAAAAAATAGTTTCATTATCAATTCAATTATTATCTACCGAATAGTTTTGAACAGATCAATCTCTACTCTATATTATCGCTAGTAATAGATTAAAATGTAATAATGATGAAAACAACAATATGCATAATACACTAGTTAGAAATTGAAACGTAAAAATTTTATCCTTTTGCTACTGGAGTTGATAGAAATAAGAGATGAGTTTAAAGAGCATTTAAAATTTTCTTCATAAACGAGTAATTAATTTTCACTATGCTCATTTATTTTGTTTTTATGTAAGATTGAAATCAACACTAAGATTTAGTGGTAAATTCTTAAATACGGATATAAGAAAAGAGAAGTATTATGAAATACTCCATACCTTGATTCCTTCGTGTATCAAACTACTAGTTGAATTTATTGTTGTTGAACTTTTATTATCACATCGAATAGGAATAAGAAATTCTCCATTTAATTGTTTATTTGGTAATAATGAATGTTGACTATTAGTTTCATTTGTTGTTGAATCCGATAATTGTAAACGATCAATAACATATGTTAAACGTTGTGTTTCATCATCAATAATTAATGTTCCAACAAATTGTAATTGTGCACGATATGTTGAACCATGTTGTAAACGTATTGCTGAACGAAAAACTTTATCTTCGAGTATTAATTGTGGTGATAATTGTTCACGTTGACATAAACGAAGATAAATTGATTTACCAATTGGTGTCGAATCCCATAGAGAAGAAATTAATAATGATGGCAATGAAGATATAGAAGTATTCTCACATGGAGTTGTTTGACGAGTTATTTTCCTATCAATGGACCATAATGGAGGTGATGATGTGGCTTTATCTGATTGTAACATCTTTGAACAAATACGAAAAAGAAAAACCGATGAAATAGATATCAATAAAATCTTTCATATCCTCTTCTTTCTTTTTTGATAGCAAACAAGAAAACAAAGTTAACACAAATATAATAACAAAACGACAAAAATAAAATAAAAAATAAAAAATAATTATATTAAAAAAAATCAAATATCATCTGACTGTTACTATGATTCATAGGAATAAATTTATCTGCATGAATTAGAGAGCTTTAGCGTGTAATGTTATATTAAAATGATTTGGTCGAAGTTTATGTGTTTGATATACAGACCAGTATTTACCCCAATATTTGTGATTTGAACCAAACGAATGAGTTACTTGATTAATTAAATTCAGATTATCATCATCATCATCAGCATTGTTACCTAACCAAATACGTAAGCCAGTTATATCGAATCGTTTTAATTTTTTTGTTTCATTTTCAAATAATTTTTGCCATAAATCACCTTTGGAAAAATCAATATCATATGTGAGACCTTCGACACGAAAATGATGTAAATACGGCATTGTTGAAAGAATAAATTTTATATCGGAGAACGTTAAATCATTTATTTCAATAGAAAAATATGTTAAATAAGAACACAGTACTGATGATAAACTATGTCGTTGAAGTTGTTGGTCACAATTAATTATATTAAGAAGAGGATATCGACGACGTGATTGTTCAACTTTTATTGTTAACGAATGAAGATTTGAACAAAGAGATAATACTTGTGGTACATCGGATAAAAAGCAAGCATCAATAATCATATGTGTCAATGAAGATGCAGCAGTTTCAGATATAATAAATTCACGATTGAAACGAAGACACAAGAACTAAAATAAACATTAATAATTTCGATACAAACTCATATTCATCGTAGTAAGATTTATATTCACTACAAATGAAAAAACGAAGTCACACAACACTATGTTGCGAAAACTGGAATCAGAACTTAACTATGTCTTTGTCATAAATGGAAATTATCTTAGAAATCATAAAAAATGATTCAAGATAAATAATGAAAAACAAATTTTAACCGTCTATTAAAATTAAATTAGAAATTAAGTATCACAAAGAATTATTTTCAATTTGATACGAAGTAGATCTGAAAGTTTACTTTGAACTTGTTTCCATTTAGATTCTTTCATAAATGTCACGACTAAGAATAATAGAATAGAAGTTAACGAGATTTTTGTTTTGTAAAACTTTTCAAGTACATATGTCGTCTATATTTATTTTCATTATGAAATATTTTATCTTATCATTTTAGTTGTCCGTTTAGATTTTACTATAAAAAGGAAATGTTCTTAAATATCTATTTGGTAAAAATAAATAAGTTCAAATAAAAAAACATTTTACTTTAATCGATTTAGATTTACTTAATAATGTATTCGCAATAAGATTAAGTTCAATAAGACTAGTACCACATCCATCGAACATATCGATATCCAGTCGAACAAGTTTATTCAAAGATAAAATATCCGCTAGCATTCGTCTTAGCTGATCAAATGTTATTTGAATTAGAGATAATTGACGTAATGCATGAAAATTTCCTAAACGTATATGTAAAAGAAATATTTTTATTTGTTCATATAATTTTTGTTCATTTGATAAACGTAATGAAATTAATTGCTTGGACATGTTAGGTAACATTATTTGACAATGATAAGCAAAAGTTGATGGATTCATCAAATGACTTAAATCAAGTGATATTAATAAGCGTGAATCATTTATTATTCTATTAAAACGTTGATTCAAATGATAAAATGAATGATAAATATAAACTGGTGGAGAAAGTAAATCAAATATATCCATTAAAATATCATCACTTAAATCTTCAAATTTCGATCTAGTTAATGTTAATGACATTATTTATCTGTAAGAAGAAAAAGAAAACAATAAGAAACGAAGGATTCAACTATCTTGACTTGATGTGGTTTTTTTTGGAACAACAGAAAATACACAAGAACATGTTTACTCCTCTCCTGAGATACAACAGAAAAAGACAATAATAAGAAAAGAATACACAGAATTTTCTTTTTTTTTTATCATTGATTAAAGAGAATTTTTTTTTGTGTTATGTTTTGGTACTAGATTGCTGCGTAAAATGATTTCCATCTGTTGTATTAGCGAATGAAACGAATCCATTTGTCATTTGCTGTATAGCGAATAGATATGATTTTGAAAAAAAGAAACAAACATCAAATTATATGTAAACAATTTAAAACTTACAGTAGTTGTCGAAGAAAATGCAGTTGATTTATCGGAATGATTAGAAGATGCACATGGCAACGTAAAATGATGAGTATTATCTCTTGGAAAAGTTGTAACAATATTGTTCAATGAATTTCCTGTATAACGTAGAATAAGAAAGAATTTAAGAAATCTTTTTTTTCTGAGAATAAAATAGAGGAAAATTTTGAATAGTGCATTGCCACTGGATACGCTTCTTTTCACCTTTGCTCTTTTCTTTTCTTTGCTGTCATGTTCATTCTGATAGATAAATAAAAACCATTTGTTTCAGTTTCCTCTCAAAATGAAACATAAAACATGGAAAAATCGAAATGTGTTAGAAAAAAACTTTTTCACACACATATGCATATATCCATATATATATATATATATATATCAGAAAATAATAAAGAAATGTTTATGATGATTTATCGGCAAGTTTAACGAAGGTTTTAAAAAGGACGAAAACAAAGAACACCAATAACTCGATCGATAAAAACTGTTTTCAAGAATTTCTCAAAACCATCCTCCATCAATATGTATTCTAGTACCATCGTAATCGCCACTTGAGTTCATATTATTATTATTATTCACATTGCAATTTTGACTAAACATATTTGTATTTGAATGAATTGTTCCACTATTCATAGCCATTTGTTCATTTTGTAATCCATTAAAATATTGCTCTGTTGGTGATTCATGATATTGTCCAGGTGGTACTTGCATCGGTTGATTTGGATATCTATACGATATTTAATAAAATTTAAAAAATAGAAATATGACAATCTAACCTGAAATATGGATTTTTAAGATCAAGTATATTTTTAACTGATATTGTTGTTCCATCAATTTGAAGAAATATTTCAACATCATAACTTTGTCTACACAAGAATATAAAATTTTAATAAAAGAAAACAAACACAAAATTGAGATGAAATTTACTTTCGATTTGAATTTAATATAGCATGACCTTTAATAGTTGTTCCTAGATTAACTGTAAGTGGCTTCATAAATAAACATCGAACTTGATACCAATGTGTTAAAGGTTGCGTAGGTGCAGTTGATAACCATACTTGTGAACTAAAAGGAAGAAAACAGCAACTTATAATCAATAAACTATAAATTAAAAAACAATTAAAACCTTGTTCCATTAAATGAAACATCAAACCAAAATGCTAAACCATGTACCACAGCTGCTGTTGTCATTTGAAATGATAATGGAATATTTATTTCATGTAAATCTTCTTCGTGTGCTGTTAAAAAATTTACTGTGTATTTAATGGGTCGTGCTAAACATATTCGAATATCAAAGTTATCAACAATTGGCTGCTTAAAATATTCATCTAATGCTGAATCTCGTAATGTAGTTAAGTCAACACCATAAAATGATTGTTGATACCAAAAATTAGCTTTACCAACTTGTTCCATATACAAAGCTTCGTCAGTAAATGGTGTTACATAAAGATCACCTGTTGTTGGATACATTTTACCATTTGGTTTAAGCCATTTTTTTGCATGCAAATATGTTTCTAACATTCGTTCATTATATAACATATAACCCATTGGTTCTGATATAATAACATCAACTTTTTCAGGCAATGTTACCTCTTCTATTTTACCCGCAATTACTTGTATGCAGTGACCTAGATGATTATTCTCAGCAAGAGTCTAAATAAACGAAAAACATAAGAATTAAAATAGAGCTTCTTTTATTAATTGAAAATGTATTTTTATTTTTACTTTGGCATGCTGAGCCATAGAACTTGCTTCAACAGCATAAACTTTTCTTGCGCCTGCTTGAGCAGCAAAAAAAGATAGAATACCTGAACCTGCACCAACATCAAGTACAACCTGAACAAAAAAGATCAAATCTTTCTCCTTTACACAATCAATACAATAAACAAACTTTGCCCGCAAAATCAATGGAATTGTCAAGAATAGCTCGTTGATAAGTTGATGTACGTATATAATCTTGCATCATATTCTGTTGTTGTGATAAATAACCGTAAAACTAAATCAAAATATAGAAATGCTTTATAAAAAAAAGATGATTAATTTAAACTTTACTTGAAAATATTGTACTGCTGATGATTCTTCTGTACGTTCATCGAATTGACATGATACATTCTCTTCAATATTTTTACCCAATTTAATAGATAATAGAAGTTTATTGAAACTTGTTACATCTAATATCAAAGCAAAAACAAATCCGATATTCGAATAAAACAAAAGAACGATCAATATTTTTGACAACTAAAATTGCTACTATTTATTAATCATCCTGTAGTAGATTTATTTTCTATTCAGAAAAGACAATTGATTGAATGTTAAAAGAGTAGAATAAGCTATTTTCATACTTTAAATTACACCGCTAAAGATGAAATCCATACGTATTACGGTTAGAAAGCTTGAATCGAGGACACTATCGAAATTTACTAATACGAGTCTTTTCAATAAAATGTGTGCTCTAGTAAAGAAGTTACTCGCTAGATAGTGTTTTGCCTTTAAATCAAGTCTACATACAAGAAGTATAATCGTTAAAACTTTTCAAATACTAAGTTTTCAATGATCAATAAGCTAACTTATTGATTATAGTTGTTTGGATAATGTCGAATAAGTATGCTCGATAAAAATCAAGAAATTGAAAAGAAAGCATAGGATAAGTTTGTATATTTATTTGACAACTGCTTTTCTTTCCTTATAAATATACTTCGTAATCATTCTATTGTCATTAGTAATAGAATCATACTCGATGAAATCGTTTTTGTAATGAAGTTAGTCGCATGTAAAATAAGAGTAGATTAATTTTTTTTATTACTAAAGAAAACCTAGTGTCAATATTACTTGTAATGATTAAGTCTGAATGAATTTCATGGAACTACTTTTGTCGTTTATCATCTATTCATATTCATCATTAGAATCAAATAGACATTTATTTTCAATTGTGAAATTAGATAGAGTGATAGGAAAATATTGTGTTTTAAATATTTAACTTACCTCCTTGATTTGAAAATTTTAATAAATATGAAAGATGTTTTTGTTTTGGTAAACTAATAATAGTACCCGTCAAACCAGAGCGAACATTTTCAAGTGATTCGTCCAAATTAATTGTTATTATAGTGGATGTACCTAAAAATCAATATGAGTATCTTTTTCTCGGAAAAAAAATTTCAAAAAGCTCACCATCTTTTACTGTTAAAGCATATTTTTTTTGTTCAGCATTTTCTTTTACTAATAACAGATTGACGGTTACTTTTTCACTTTTTACTTGTTGATCATCCAGGGCAGTAACATCAACACTTGAATATTGATGCATTGTCTAATGTTCTTTTCTTCCTTAATATTTGTTTTATAGATTTAAATCAAATAATATTGGTCGAAAAAAGGATGATGACGAATAGACAAAGTATTGGGTCGACCAGCACATATATGTATATAAAATATCTCTGTAAAGAAGAATACTTCTTGGTCGTCAGAGTCACAGTGTGGAATGTGTAGATTGATCACAAAACTGGCTTAAGATGAGAGAGTGTTCAAGATGACTAAGTTCTTAGAAAAAAATCTACTTCTATTATTATACACTGTGTACGTACATAGACGTTAAACTACTTAACCAATTGCAATAAGAAAAGAATCTTATTTTAATTCAGTAAAAAAAGCATAAATTTACATCAAACCACAAACGTTTTGAAAAAATTAAATTAAAACTTTTAAAATTTAACACGTTCATATGCGAATGATAGATGTCAGCAAAGTAAATTAAAATTTTCTTCTATGGAGGAATGTGAAACTGAAGAAAAAAAATGGATGAATTTTGTTAATAGACTTTTTCTTTTTCTCTATTCTTTGTTTGCTCGTTGGGCGAGACCATAAACCAGTATTCGCAAAATAATTTGTGGGTTTATCACAATTTGGTTCTATTTCGCGATTTATATGCATAGTAAATACCAGAGCTCAGCGGGACGGGATGAGACAATAAAATTGAAAATATGACAGGACAAAACGAGGTTGAGCATGATTCCTCACGGGATAGGACCCGATCAATTCACTTATCTGTTCCTCCAAACTCACAAAAGCAGAACCAACAGTTGTGCGCAAATTTAGCGAGAGGACAAAGAGGAAAGGTAAATCCGAGTGCATTCTAGGATCCTCCAAGTTTCATCATTCGGCACTGATTGTAAATTATTGTAAACCTAATTAACTTTTCATGGATTAAATTAGACTGTGAAATTTACCCAATTAAAGTAAGTTCTGATCAGGGTCGTAAGTCAGGTCTCAGAGCATG